AAGGTTCAATCTGGTTTTTGTGCAAGCAAAGCAAGCAGCCACCTTCAAAGCAGCAGCAAAGCTTTCGACATGCTGGGTTCACGGGAAGTTCAGAGGGGCATCAGCACCCACTTCCAGTACATGCTCGTCGCGTCTACGAGCTGCCCGCTCTTCAGTATCAAAGGTCTGAGAATGAAAGAAAAAGATGAGAATCTTGTATTGCTTGCTGAAAATGAGTGAGGTACTTCACTTACTCCCAACCATTTGCCACCGTATTTGGCACCCCATTTATTCTTATTCTTACACACTCCTATGAACTGACTAGTTTTGACTCTACGGATGGAGCGAATTGGTGGTTAGTTGCTGCTGTTCCGTTTTTACCCCCAAGCCAAGCAATGGATTTCGTTTATTAAGTACTTGCCTGGGCATAGTAACATCAGAGGGACGGGCGACCGTATTGATATCAGAGCGACGGGCGACCGCTTCCTCATACTTCTTGGCAGCTTCAATTTCTGTGTCGAAGGTGCCAACTTGAATCTTTTTACCAGCCCTACTGATAATTGCTTGCCAGCGTCCAGATTTAGCCTTTGATACACCCTTGAACTGGGATGTTTTTTTGTTTGATTTCGGGGCCCGTGGTGATTGAGCGAAAATCTCCTTTACGACCTGAGAACGTACAGTGATAGCATCATCCACCTCGCCGTCTTCCTTCTCTCTCTCGTCTAGCTCACCCTCTTCTTTGTCGTCTTCTCCCTCTGTCTCATGAGCCAATGGCGGACTCGTAGCGAGACGACCTTCCTCCTCGTCATCGTCTTCCTGCTCCTGCTCCTCCTCGTCACTTTGACTTTCATCGTTATGAATCTCCATATCCTCTACATCAGATGCGTATATATCGCTCCTGCGAAAGCAGAAACGAATAAAAGTGTCAAAGTTATGGATTGACTGTAAACATGACTGTTCCAACTCGTAAGCTTACACCGACAGACTCCTCTCCCTGACAGCTCTTGCCGGAAGATCATCCATTAAATCATCTTCATCATCACTGAATACCGGTAAGTCTTCATCGTTGAGTGACTTGAATGTTGCTAACATAGGTCCAACAGCATCAAGACGGGACGGTACACCGTTAAAAGCTACGTGCATGGGTGCTTTGCCCTTAGAATTAGAGGGGACACTGGTGGTTTGAAGGGCGACGGGGCCATATTGCTTGAAGGGCAATGTCCCAGAACGTTTTGCTACATACTCCAAAGGGACCCGTTGAGATGTGCTCATGACTTCAGTTGTAGCTGGTATTAAGGGTATACGTCTTGAGGCTATGGATTGCTGGTGCCAAGGGGGTACGCCCTCCTGCGAGGCCGAAAAGCAGTTCGGAAATACAATGGTGCCAATTGCAGATCCACAAGCTGTTGAAGATAAGGAGGAAGAGAGTTAGTTGGTACCGATAGTTGTACAACTAATGCCACTGTCGATGCGGATGCCGCTCTTACCTCGTTAGGATTATAGTGTTTTTGATGAAACTTAGGTTTTTTGGTAAGTAAGGGTGTGTTTCGCCTTAAGTGAAGCTTCACGACAAAGCAATGCAGGAGCGCCTCGTCGTCTGACCACCAACATAGACACGCGAAGAAGCCTTGCAAAACGTTCAGAGTGTATAGAAAATCACCTTCTTGACGTGGTTTGAACGATTTCGCAGGCGTTGATCGCGCTGGAATCGTGAAGTTTACGTTTTCAGATACGTTGGTTTATGTTAACTACTTAACTACTTTACAATACACAGATGCTCCTCTACTGTTATTACAAATGTTCGTTTGGTAGCTCTGTCGACGATGGGTGCTTCCACATTGAGCGCTAATGGCAGATTATGCGAGCGACGCCGACCCCAGTTCATGCTCTCAAGTCTCAACAGGACAGACAGCGTTTAAAGATACCTCGTGAACGACAAGGTGTTGGTTGAAACTGTCGTCCGTGCCTACACTCACAACTCATATCGGAAAACAGATTACAGCAAGCAAACCACGGCGGACAGGCGCCGCTTCTCAGCAAGTAGTGCAGTGATGTGGTGAGTCCGCTCTACTGTGCTATCGTCACTAGATCAATCTATCGCCTGCCAAATGTTGGCAAATTCTTAACTGCTGTTTGTCGCAGTTTCCAGTCATTGTTTGAGACGGCTTGCTGATTCCAAATCTGTAATAGAGCCAACACTACTCATACCAAGTGGATCATGATCTGGATGGCTCCTTCTCTCTCTTCTACTGCCTTCGGACTGTTCTCCCAAACCACACATCAACCGTTCGACATTTTTTGTTTTTGTTTTGAATTGGCTGGCAAGAGACGAGACAAGATGTCGTTAGCAGAGCATACACTCACTCTTTAGGCGCATAGGCATATCAGACAACCAGTTACCACTTGGCTACCTGAATATGAAACACCTCAAGACTACTCAATCACCATCCTAAACCACGTTTCATGAGCCAACGGAAGGAACGGTTGTCCGCAATTCCACGAAGAGACCATTGCGTGGTTGCTGCCCAAGCGTAAAAACTTCATCCGAGGACACGCTCCTCTCCAGTGGTAAGAGGGAACCTGGGCAAAGCGTCAACTGCCATTTGAACCGGCTGCCTTGATCCTCACCTGGCAGGACTTGGTTGGGGCGAATGATGGGTGGCAGAGGATTTGGATTACAGGCCAGCTTCTCTTATCTGACAGGTATGTGCAGGATTAATTAACACTCTATACTCTTACTAACCCTTTCTTGGTCTTGCCAGGTATCGAAGAGTGAATTTGAGGCTGTGCATTTGTACGGGCAGGAGACGCTATTTGGTGGCTGTCGGAGGGGCGAAGCGGATACGTGAGTCAAGTATTCGACCTTCTAATGGCAAAAGACAAGGAGAGAACGTCCTTGTCTGGACGATCTGCGAAAGAGGTAACTTGTCCAGCCAGAAATGTTGGATATTGGCTCGATACTCACACCACACAATCGCTAGATTCTTGTTTTGCCTTCTACTTTCGTTTCACTGCTTCTATAGATTGAAGTACACAATATCAACACGTCACACGCATGGGACAACAACTATAACAGTTGCCACGAGATACTTTTTGATTCAATTCTGTGATTATATTTTATAAACACTTATTTGGGTCTACAAAAAGGTGTTAGTTGCGGATTGCAGCATGCGTTTCCCTGTCAAGCATCTGGAAGACACGTCTTATTCAGCTCTTAGCAATTCCGGAATATCGAAATACGAGGACCGAGCTTCAAAAACAACGCGTCCGTCCCATGCAATGACTCGAACTGCAATGTCGAAATCAAACCACTCAGCACTTAGCAGCTCTGACGAAAAAGGTCTGTAATGGCCGAGCAGTCTTCCAACAAGAGACAGCGTCCAGATGAGCCTGATGCCACTCCGTCACCACACACTGCAACGAATTCCAACCCATCGTCAAATGTCAAATCAGACAACGAGAGTCAAAATCAACAACAAGCTGGAGCATCTACTAAACCAAAACCACTGGAGCAATGCATAGTACATGGGAAAACGCCTGGAAATGATATTCTGGATGAAGTTTGTGCTGTATGTCTTCGACATCCTGCCTTCGGTTTTTGTTGGATCAAGCGTGCTGCACAACTGTTTAGACTGATGGTTTATTTTCAATTTCTAGTTTCTATGGGAGCAAATATCAAAGTTTCCATCGTCAAATTATGTCATGGAGGTTGGTTTCGGCAAGCTTACGACGTTTTCTGCTTTCAAGAACATGGGCTCAATACCCTTTTACTAGATCGAGGGCAAGCTTGGAGTATTTGTAGACAAGAGAACTAATCAACGTGTCCATGGCGTGTACTCTACCGAAGCAGGTAGCATTGATCCTCCTAGCATCACAGGACTGTTTTTGTTCGACTGACTTCCTAAAACGACCATACTAGTCCTTCCTGATTCCAGAGATCTTCGCTTTGAGAGTGACATGACGATGGTAGGCTCTCGCCAAAATATCTACAGCGTACATCGTGAATTACTCTCTGGTTACTACTAGAAACGACACGAACTCTTCAACAAGACTTTAAATACTCTATATCAACAAAAATTGAAGCCTGGCTACACGGTAAATATCATCAATACTAGCGGGAAATAATTTATTCTGACCCAGTCTCAAAACATAGGGATCACAAATCTATGCTACTCATACCAAAGTCCGAGATGAATTCTATTCTACACGCACCGATGGAAGAGTTCGAGTATCAAAGGATCTAGCTACCTTAAAGGTAAACACAGCGTGAACTACTTTGGTCCAGTATGACTTCCTCGAACGTATCGCTTTTTTTTGTTCTTAGGTGGTTCCAGAACATGGAGTGATTGAAAAACGCAAGTTTGGTGACATAAATATTCATTGTCCTCGTCATGAACTTGATTTCAGAATAAGTTTCAACGCTGAAATTCCAGGTATGAGCTATGTCAAGTTGATTGCAAGGGAGCGAATCCAATGTCTCCGTTTTTAGCTCAACTCCCACCATCACACGTACCAATGACCTCATACCGTGATAAAGACCGTGTATCGTATCGACATCAGATCTGTCAAATCGATTTGACTCAAGTGACGCAGCATCTTACTGGCACTCCGGAGGTGATCATGAACACGATCCTCTCCTTTTGTTGCACAGCTAAGCTAACACACATGCCCTTAGCAATCGAATACAGTGACTCATGAATTTGAGGTTGAATTCCTGTATCCCAAAATATTAGCGGACTTTGTTCGTGCAGGAGATGCACGTCGATTCAAGGAGCATCTTGCAGTGTTTCTGAACAATATTCGCATGTTTGCACGCGGTGAATTCGTGTAATATAATTTTGTAGGTAGTGGCAAATGTAAATAAGCAATTTTTGCTATATGGCTATACGTGGTTTGTTGTTTGTTGAATGCTGGTCTGAACGCGTCACCTACTTTGTTCAACAAAACCAGCAGGGAGACGAAGCTTTTAAGAAGAGGATAAAAAGCTCAGCAGTAATTACTGTTTACAAGGGGCATTCATCATGTTCAGGTAAGTCCTATGGTATATAGAGTTTCAATGCTTCTAAATTCAAAACACCCCTCATCTGAAATAGGAATCAATATGACAATGATATCACGACATGGTCTCCACAAGGACGTATACATCAAGTCGAATATGCACTAGAAGCTGTCAAGCAAGGATCTGCTGCTGTGGGACTGCGCTCAAAAACTCATGTTGTTCTCCTATCATTAAAAGTAAAACTCATGATGGATTGTTTGAGAGTCCAACTTTAAATGTGATTGGAAGCAGCATGTTGATGCTAACTTCTCTTTTATTATTTATTTGAATTTATAAAGAGATCTCCAAGTGAACTGGCTTCATCCCAAAAGAAGCTCGTACGAGTTGATGACCACTTGGGTATTGCTTTTGCTGGATTGACTTCAGATGCTCGTGTATTGAGGTAGTTGATCTGTTAGAGTAGCTGTTTGCTTTGCCAATCATCAAAAGGACTGTTGGAAGATAAACGTGTCACGCATTATCCATCTGACCTGTTCTCGTTTTGCTCATTCAATTCCTAGTAACTTTATGAGAACTGAAGCTATGCGTTCTCGCATGGTGTACAACCGGCCTATACCCATCTACCGAATTGTCGCTGCAATTGGTGACAGTACGTTATTCTCAAATTTAGTTTCTAGTCTCAACGAAACAATAATCAACTTGAACGATACATAACAATTACTAGAGGCACAAGTCAACACTCAACGATATGGAAGGAGGCCATATGGTGTTGGATTGTTGGTTGGTGGATATGATGTGAGTGTTTGCCACAAATCCAAAATTGGTTCTCTGCTGTTGCAATAGCTTTTTTTGCTCACCTCCCTTCCATTAGGAAACTGGTCCACACTTGTACGAATGCTCTCCATCTGGGAACTTTTTCGAATACATTGCAATGAGCATTGGAGCACGATCACAATCAGCAAAGACTTATTTGGAGAAACATTACTTGAGTTTTGCTGATGGTAAGATTGTATTCACGTCTATCTTACGACATAAAGCCTTGCAAGGTTTTCCTTTTTTTGTTAACCTCAACAACTCTGACGACGAAAACACCTCCCAATTATTTCGAATAGCATCACGAGACGACCTTGTAGTCCACGGACTCCGATCTCTCCGTGACACACTACAACAAGACAAAGAACTCGACACCACAAACTGTTATCTAGCAATCACAGGCAAAGACAACAAGTTTGAAATCGTGGAAGGTGATGCCTTGACAAAGTTCTTGAATGTATTGCGAACTACTGATGGTGTCGTTGGAACTGCCCCTACTGGAGATGAACCTACTGCTCCATCTGGTGATGATTCGGTTGTGCCTATGGAAACTGAATAAAACTGTGTACCAAACGAGGGTAGATATTTGTAAAGAACGAGTTGCTTGAAAAAAACTTATAAATCACTATCAAAACTGGACTATATTTCAAGAAAGGGGGTTTTACTACTATCTTGCGGTGGCTAGGTACACGAACTATTCTTGGGCTTCTTGCTCCGGTTGTGATAGTGTTGGAGCCAAGACTGTGCTTGTATGTGCAGAAGCCGGTCGGGCTTTGAGTTCATGTGCGATGGAGGAGTTGCTCTTTAAGACTTCAGCGGATTGGGTTCGAGAAGTTTGTTTGAGTGGTGCTGATGTGGCAAAATGATCATTAGAACAAAAGGTTTCAGAATGGGTCTTTGAATGACATACCAGGAGTATTTGATGCTGTTACCGCTTCAATCGGTGATTGATTGCTGGTTGAAACTGGTGCAGACTTGAGTGGAGCTAGAGTTGCCAGCAAGAAGGGTGAGCTAAAAAAACCAGACTAGCGCATTGAAGAACGTACCAGGAGTATGTGCTACAACTGCCTCAATCGGCTCGTTGTAGCTGGTTGCAGCTGGTACCGGTGGTGAAGTCGAGGTTGTGAGTGCTGCTAAAAGTTGATTTGAAGTGAGTATTAATTCGTAACCAAAAAAAAGATTAGATACAGGTTAATGTGCCTTACCGGCAGTCACAGGTCCAACACTGTTACTCAACACCCCAACTTCAGCAGCAGGTCTATGTACAGTAGCGCTCAGGTATTCAATACTAGTATCCAAGGCTTGCAACCTCAACTGCAAGGGCGACAGCAAGTTTGCAGTGGTTTGCTCAAACGACATGACATCAACCCAAGTTTTCGAGTGTTCTTTAATTCCATTCACGTCGTTGGAGAGTGTTCGTAACTGGATACTGAGCTCTTGGTCGAGCTCTCGTTGGATGGTCTTCACTTGTTCCTTTACGGTATCGAGTGATTTGGTAAGCGGGGCAATACTGTATTCGATTCCGTCAATGCGTTTGAAAGTCATGTCTCTCCATAATTTTGTTTCTCGTGCGTCACTTTCACGTTCCTTTTCGTGTGTGGCGCGTGCATCTCGTAGACGTTCACGTTCACGAGACTTGGATTCGGCGAGTTCGTGAGATAATTGTTTTGTCAACGGTTGTTCGACTTCCAGTTGTGCTGATAGTCGAGACAGGTTGGATTTGATTTCAGATATTACGGATTCGGTTTCTTGAGCGTTTGATTTTAGTGCCAGGAATTCCTTGATTTCGGTTATGGATTGTGAGCGTGTGTTGGTTTCGGTTTCGAGGGATTCGGTGATTTGGTGACGGATGCTCGTCATGTTGGTTTCTAATTCCGTTAGTTTGGCTGGAAGGGCGTTCAAAGCATCGTCTAATGAAGCCGCCTTGCTTTCGGAAGTACCCTTGAATTTCACGTATTGGATTTGATGTTCCTCGAAACGAGCATCCAATTTACCCAATTGGGATTGCAAAGATTTGCGAGACGCATCGACATCATCTACCAGTTTCAATCGTATGGATTCAATCATGGTATTCTGACTAGCCAATTTGGCATCCAATGCCGTTCTCGTGCTATCCAAAGCACCATTCACAGTCTCGATTTCCGAATGAGTAGCCGAAGTACTCTTCAAACTGGACACTTGAGCTTCCAAAATTGTTACCTGAGCACTCAATTTAGTAATACTGGTAGTCAATGCCGATTGAGCATCTTGATGAGTAGAAGCATCCAACTTTTCGTCTAGTGTGCTTGTAACAGCATCCATTTGCAAATCCAACATGTCAATTCTAGCATCCCTCATAGCAATAGCCTCATCTAATCGTGCATCACGTTCGTGCATGGCATGATCAAGTTTGGAGTCCTGTGATGAGATTGCTTGTGATAGTGATGTGGATGAAGAAGTGATTGCTTGTTGGATTTGGGCATCAAATTTGGTTATTGCGTGATCAAGACGGGCATATGCAGCTGAGAATTCGGTTTGCAGGTTGGAGTCTCGAGTGGATAGGGAGTTTTGTAGTTGGGAGTCTCGTAAGGCCAGCGCGTCTTTTAAGGACTCGTCTCGGGTAGCTAGAGCTTGTTGCAATTTAGTGTCTCTGGTAGCTAATTCCGTGGCAATGTGAGCATCTCGTGTCGATAACGCTGCGTCAAGGTGAGCATCTCTTGTACTCAATTCCTTGACCAAGTGCTCATCTCGTGTAGCAAGAGCATCCTTCAATTGAATATCTCTCATAGTGAAAGCCTCTTCAATTCTATCATACTTGACAGCCAACTCCTCATCCAATACGATTTTAGCTGCTGCAAGTGTAGCGATTCCTTGACTCAATTGACTAGCACTTGACTCCATTCGAGCCACATCAGCAAAACGAGTGTCGTTGCACTCTTTAACTGCATTCAGGCATTTGGTTTCCGTCTCTAGAACATCGGCTCGTAGCGACAACGATGGAAGTGTTTCTTGCACTTGTTGCATATTATCAACCACTTGATCAAGTCGTGATTGCGCACTCTTCAATTCTTCTTGCGTGTTTGATATCATTTGTAGTCCCTTCATGGCAGCTTCCATAGCGGATATATGATCATCTTGTTCTAAATCTCCTGATTTGACGACACTTTGTTCCAGTAATTCCAATCTTGTCGATAAAGTTTGCAATGTTTGGTTGCATTGAGCGACAGAATCATCCATTTCAGACTGTCCAGCTTTGGAATTGAGGACACCTGAAATATTGTTTACGATTTCCTCAATAGTTTCAACGCCACCACGGAGTTCGGATACAGCAACCATTATTCCAGACTCCATGTCAGATACTTGACTAGACGTTGGTCGAGCGTCCAATTCTGTCTTGAAAGCAGCCATAGTTGTATCAATTTGAATACTGTGTAGCTGTAATTTAGCTTCTGAATCACTGGTTAACTTCGATACGTTGGCCTCAATTTCACTAGTCTTGGATTTGGTATCATTCAATTCTCGAATGATTTCAGATACGAGTTTCTCTACTGTGGTTGCCGAGTCTTCAAACCCAATTTGTTGAGATTTGCGAACGGATGCAATGGTATCGGTTAGATGATTAATGTGGTCGTTAAACACCGTCTCAGCGTCCTTGACACGGTTCTTGACTTGAGTGATTTGAGTGTTGAAGTCATCACTTTGTCGTACTCGTGATGCATTCATTTCAGTTGACAGAGACTTCATTTCGTGTGTTGATGTCAACTGAGCTTCCATCAACTCTTGTTTCAAACCATCAATATCTTGACGATGGTTTCGATCAACGTTATCGAATCGTTCAGCAACGTCCCTAGTCAGAGTCTCCAAGCGAGCTTCAACTTGCATCCTAGCACGAATTTCAGAGCGTATGACTTCTTGAAGTGCCGATGATCGAGTAATATCGGATTTCTCAACGAGTAAGATAGCTTCCTGCAATTCTTTAACTGCAACAGCGGTTTGCTGACGAGTATCAGCTTGTTGAGCCTGCAAATCTTCAGCACGTTTAGAAATGTCTACCTGCAGGACCTTGACGATATCTTCCACATCTTGTCGTAATCGTGACTCAAATTTGGTACGTTGCAAACGCTCGTCGGTGATGACACTTTCACAATCAGTGATTTTAACGGTTATTGCATCCACGAGTTTAAAATTTTGATCGACGACCTGTCGTTCCATGATTCGTAGTTGATTGACAATGGAGTTAAGAGCCTTATCACGTTCTTCACGTTCTTGTCCCAAAGCAGTAGCGATGCTTCCTCTGACAGATTCAACACGTTGTATAGCAGCTTGATCCAAAGAAGCCATAACACGACGTATCTCACTATACGAATCCTTGATGTTGACTTCATGTTGAGCTCTAGCTTTCGATTCAGCATCAATTCGACTCCTGATATCGTTAATAGCAGCTTCACATCGTCTTGCTATTGCATCAATAGCAGTCTCAGCACCAGATCTGACTCGTTCAAGAGCTTGATCGTGATCTCGAACGGCACGAGCAACTTGTCCTAGATGTTGCTGTTCAGTTTCGACTTCCTTGGTAATGGATTTTAATTCGGCACCAGCTTCGACTGCTTTGAGCGTGGCTCCTTCGACACGGTATCTCACACGTCCTAACTCTTCTTGCAAGGCACGACTGCGTTCATCGTCTTCATGTAATGCTCGATCATGCACGTTTTGGCGAGATACCAGTTCGGAAAGTAAACTATTAGCACGTTGTGATTCCCTCTCAAGTCGTGCATTGATATCCATTACTGCGGTCTTGCTACGAGATTCAGATTCGGAGACTACACGAGTTACATCTCGTAAGGAAGCTGAATCCAATGTGACCTTTTCCTGTAGTGAATCTACCTTGGCGGCTAATGCAGCTAGTAGTGTTCTTCCCATAGACAATTCTTGTTCCATGTGTGAGCGAGATTTGCGTTCGAGGTATAACTGTTCTTCTGTTTGTGCTAGCCTCGTCAGCAGCTGTTGTTGGTCGTTTACTCCAACGGCTATAACGTCTGATGATGCATTCAAATAGGGATTGCTACTACTGCTGTTGTTGTTGACAGGAGACGCTAAAGTCGACATGTTTCCAAAATTCGATCCAGGTGACGTTATAGCTGAATACGGCGTGTAAGGCGTTATAGGAGAATTCAAGGTCGAATACTGTTGCAGCAATGTTGATGCGCCATTGTTAGGTCTGCTGTATGATAAGTCAATGCCTGAATCCTTGTTGTGACTTTGTTGCAACTGTGTCGTTTGTGGTGGAGGAAGAGGTACGGAATTTCGCAGTGGCGATGTTGGCATCTGTATCTGTAGAGATGCTGGTCGTGGTGGTGATGAGATTGGTGGTATAATTGTAGAAGGCATTAAAGGTGGTCTCGCTGAAACTCCTGTACGGTAGTCGTTCTGACTTTGTGCGTTACGCATTCCCAAAAAGTCAGACGGATTTGGCCAATTGTTTGTGTTTGATGATATAGACCTTGCTGCTTGTTGTAGAGCAGGAGCGGCAGGCTCCCTTGGTTCTCTGATTTGTCTCTGCGATGATGAGAAGCGTCAGATATGGTGGAATTGTCTGCATTCTGCCAGGTAAGCCCACAACAAACAGAAGTAAAAGACGCACAGGGCTGGTGTCTGAGAATGAAATTCCGCTCATCTTCCTGTATTCTTCAATCTCGAGTTGCCTTTGCATTGCCTTCCTATAATTAGTGGCGAGTGTGAGAAGTACATACGCGTTTATGCGGCACTTGGACCAGTACAAACCCATGTTTTGCTTCGTCTCGTTGCTTGCTGAGATATTCTTTAAGCTTGACATTGGCTTCATTGCGATCATGGTCTCGTTTCTCAACCGAGTTCCAGTCCATGTCGAGCACCGGTACGTGAATTTGATGTCCAAGTCACGAGATCAAGTGGTAGACAGGCCGAGTAAAATGAACTGTAGTTCGTTAGCAATTGGTAGTCGCGGTGCTCAGTTGACTAAAAAATAGGCAGGGTCGATACTACCACTCACATCCCAATCAAATCGCCGGAACTTGGTTCTTGTATAAGTAGACAAGTAGCAGCAGTAGACCATACAAAGCACTAGTAGAATGCCTGGTAAGTTGGCCTAAAGTTACTACTGACAACAACAAGCAGTCTACACTTTACGCCCAAACACTCACATTCGGGTATGAACACTAGGCCCAGATGAATGGTTGGAGACAGTCAAGAAATGCCAGTATCTGCCGGAACCCGATATAAAGAAACTATGCGATACAGTACGCAAGGGCTTTCTCTGTCTCGTCCGCCCCCTTACATCAACAACATGTTGTGGATTACGAATATATATAGAACTAAACCAAACCATATACACAACGATAGGTCAAAGACTTGCTCATGGAAGAATCAAACATCCAACCTGTACATAGTCCTGTCACCGTCTGTGGTGACATCCACGGACAGTTCTTTGACCTCATCGAGTTGTTTCGTGTCGGAGGAGAGATTCCTACTACCTCTTACATATTTATGGTATAATACAGATCATTGGAGAGATGTAAGCCTATAGAATGCTCACCAAGCACATCCTTCACACCCTAGGGTGACTTTGTAGATCGTGGATATTACTCGCTAGAAACATTTACATTATTGCTGGTCCTCAAGGCCAGGTACGACAGATAAAAATATCGTTTTTTGTCATTGGATCTCGTCTGAATCAATAAAAATCTACTGTAGGTATCCAGACAAGATTACACTATTGCGAGGAAATCATGAAAGCAGACAGATAACACAAGTATATGGCTTCTATGGTAACGAAGACATCAATATCTTTATTGATCAATTCATCTCATTACTCTTCTCGCTCACGCTTAGATGAATGCCAAACAAAATATGGCAATGCCAATGTGTGGAAGTATTGCTGCGGTGTCTTTGATTACTTGACATTGGCTGCAGTACGTAGCATATATTCCAGAAACGAAAATTATGCCAAAGAAGTTTCCCACATGAAAAAGTACTCACTCACTGTTTTCTTTAGATTGTAGACGGCAGAGTACTATGTGTGCACGGTGGATTATCGCCGGATGTACGTACATTGGATCAAATTCGAACAATACAGCGATGCCAAGAGATTCCTCATGAGGGTGCCTTCTGCGGTAAGACTAGTGCTTCTGAAGGTTGGAGTTTGAACATGGTTTTCTAACTATGGGCTTTCTAGACTTGATGTGGTCAGATCCTGAGGAAATTGAAACATGGGGCGTCAGTCCTAGAGGAGCAGGATGGTTGTTTGGTAGCAAAGTGACTTCAGAGGTATTTTTTATCTTTGGTTTGCGCTTGTTTTGCTTTCTTAACTGAAACAATCCATCACTCACACTAGTTCAACCATGTCAACAATCTGCTTTTAATTGCACGAGCCCATCAATTGGTTCAAGAGGGATACAAGTACATGTTCCCAGATTCCAATCTAGTTACAGTATGGTCCGCACCCAACTATTGTTATCGCTGTGGGAATGTTGCATCGATAATGGTGGTGGACGAGAGTCTGAATATTGACGAAAAGTCATTCAAGATATTCAATGCTGTTCCTGGTAAGTTGTTGCGTGTGTGATGATGTCGAATTGAAATTTGGAAAGCTGAAGTCCTCGTTTTGTTCTTCCCAACAGACAATGACAGATCGGTGCCTCCGAGACAACAAGCTCCTTATTTCCTCTAGTTTTTCTTTTTAAGCTTTCGTGTTGCACAAATAAACGTATTACTGAAGACACCTGCTTTTGATATCCCTCGACCGTGCAAAATAAGCGAACTGCGTTTATCGTCGACTCATGAAGTATGAATGATTCATTATGATTGTCATTCACAACGCGTTTGGCTCCAGCTTGGTTCAACTCTCAGCTTGGAATTACTGCTTCTGAGCCCCATTCTCGTACTAGCTGTTCAGGTCCATTTGCACGCCAGACCTCCTGCTCCAAACAGCCTGACATGCTAACATAACTAGATACAATATGATCTTTACTCAAGTTGGCCAGGCACTAAACTTGAAGAGCTTGGATGTTTTATTCCTTTATTGCTTTCTAACTTGACTCACTTAGTGTGGCATTCAAGTTGGCCAAAGCCTGTTTGATCAGCTTGCATCAGAGTAAATAATTTAATTGATCGTTTTGATTAGTGCTTCAACCACGTGGTTGTGGCAAACCTGACGTTGGTTGCAACATTAGGTATCAAGATGTCGAATTACGATACCCATTAAACACCTACAAGCAATTAGTCGTTGATACCGAGCGTAAAGTGAGTATCATCATTGGCAATTTCAAAGTGGAACTATGTTGTACCCCAAAAAAATCGATTTGATCGACCTATGTGGATGCTTTTGTTTCCAATTTACAATTGACATAATTTCTAACATGTGATTGTTTACATGTATTCAGACATGGAGGAAACGAAAGCAAACAGCACATCCTTCCTTCCCTGCTTCATACATTGAAAACGGAACATCAGGAAGAGGCAACAATTGGGCTCATGGGTATTGGGATACACGACGATTAGATGATATCATGGAATTGTATCGTTCCGTCTCGGAGAAGGCTAGTCGTTATGATGGGTGTATGTTGCTTCACAGGTACCCAGTTTCCCTGTCGAAGTGCCGGGTTTTTTGTCAGGAGCCTTACGGCTTTTTGTCTTCTCCTTTTCATAGTGTCGCTGGAGGAACTGGATCTGGTCTAGGATCTAGGTGAGTTTCCATGTTGGAACTGGCTTATTTTTGCGCCGATAATAGTTAAACTGTTTTATTCTCACCCAGGCTAGCAGAAGAAATACGCGATGCATTTCCTAAAGGCTTCATCATGTCGACCGCGTGAGTAGTATCGCTCTCACTATCTGCCAAACAAACTTGACGTTAATAAACCTAGTGTCATACCTTTTCAATCTGGAGAAACCACTCTACAAAGCTATAACACAATGTTAACTCTGGGCTGGCTTCAGAGGTATCCCTTTTGTGTAAGAGGTTTTTTCGCCATTCAAACCTTAACCTTGTTCTCTTCCAAAATCAAAGGAACGTCGACTTTATTGGCTTGTTTTCAAATGATTCCGTCATGGCTTCTATACATAGACAGCTTGGGATTTATGCTGGCAAAGGTTTGTTATGACAGGGTATCTTGCTTGTTTTTTTCCGCTCCCAATTCTCAAAGGAAACATCCACCTTCTTTTCAGCAACCACCCTCAACAATCGAGTATCACTTGACGACCTGAATGAGTATATTGCATCTTGCCTAGCTGCATTCTTGTTGCCAACAAGTGACTTGGTTAATGGAAGGTAAAATTTTCAAAGGTTTGGGTGTGTTCCAAATAACCGGGGAAAACACTTATACCTTCAACCCACCACCCCAAATCACTTATCTAGGCTGTCCACAAAATCCATTGACCCGTGGGCATTGATAACAGACATAACACCAATGCCTTGTTGTAAGATGGCTTCATTCTCGTCGTCTAGTATAGCTCGTCAAGCTTCAAAGTAATGAACGATCATGATAACGCCCGAACAGCAAACATTTCTTGCTGACCTTCTTTGTGCATATCAATAGGCACTCTGTGGTGGAAGGATGGGATGACATGGCTGCCAACTTGATGAGGAATGCTAGTGTGCCTTTTGCTGATCATAAGAGATTGTATAGTATAGTTGTCAATCCGTTTTTGTGAATTCATCTGTACGGTGATACATACTTTTTCGCTCTCTATGTCAGGACATTATCAAGTGCACTAGTAGCACGAGGGACTAACGGTGGTGATTATGGACTACGAACTGTGAATGTGTTGAACAGGATTGCTACCAAACTCAATGCTCCAAGAATATCACTTCACCAAACTTCTCACTACTATGGTATGATTCATTCTGGAAAATCTTTTTTTCTGCCATGAGCTTCATACCTTGTCAACAACCTTTTTGCTGTCATCTTTCTTAACTTACACATTCTAGCAACTGAACCTAAATCAACCAAGAAATCTTTAACGCTATGTTACAACAGTAACGATGTGGTCCCCATGCTTGAATCCGTGACTAGGAAGGCAAGAGCAATGTATACTGAAGGAGCATTCTTGCACTGGTATCAGAAATATGGTGGTGATGACACTCCATACGTGTTTGATGAATGCTTTGAAGAAATCACCTCTGTAATTGAATCATATAATGACTTTTGTTCATAGTAAACATATAAGTTATATTTTAGTAGTTTAAACACACGAATTTTGCAACAACAAAAAGGCTGCAGAGGAGCTGGCCGATAGTAGTGACTACATTCGCACTGTAGTAAAAACTACAGCAATCTAGTCTGGGTTTTGCTGTTACGTTTTGGGTTTCATGCCATGTCATAGTCCTCATCATCATCTTGCGATGGTCGTGTTTCAGAAGCAGGCATATACATTGGTTGTTGAGGAACATATCCCATTGGCTGCTGCTGTGGAGGCATCATTTGCTGTTGTTGATTCATTGGATTCATTTGTGGCATTTGCTGCTGCTGTTGATGCATTTGCATTCCTTGCTGATGTTGCTGCATTTCCTGTTTTCGTTTTTGTGGTATACCAGATGAATGTGTTCCTTCTGGGGTTTGCTTTATCAACAGCCAGAACAAAAGCAGTTGATTTAGTCAGAAGAATGTGTGGTATACAACAACTCAGGCAGTATTACTGGACTCAAACGCTTACATTAGTTGGAATGGGCGTGACGACAAAGTTTGGAGAAGTGAGTGTTCTAGCTTCTGGAGGTACACGGAATCCAAACTTTTCTGCTATGGATGGCAAAGGGATTGAATTCTTTGAGGCTGCTAGTTCCAATAATGCCTGTATAGAAAGGTATTTGGTGGACGATGAGCGAGCAAACGGGAAGAGGAATTTGTTGGAATGTGCGCAGACTAGGCCAACATTAGCTTACATCATGAGAAGGTGGTAGAGCAAAAGAGTGTTCTAATCTAGACAAGACAGCCAATTCCAAATCTGCATTGTTGATTTCTTGTCGTCCAGCATGGTCTGCAACCACCATTGAGTCATTCAAAACATCCAATACATATCCTACAATTTGATGTTCATGTTTGAATGAATTCGACATAGTAACTTGACAATAATGAATACACCACTCGATACAGCATATATAACCGTACTCACGATGCATAAATTCCAGTAATTGATGTAATACTCTTGGCTCGTATTCTTCAATTCCCATTGATTGCAACAAGAGTGAAATTAATCGGGCATCTCGAGGAATTTGTGACGCATCCTGTGCCGTATCGCCCTCTAATGTGCCTAATGCTTGGCTGGTGCTGCCTGTGGCCATTCTCTGTTGCTCTTTGTCCTTCTTTCGTAATATGTTTGAAGCTTGAAGAATCTGTCGCAAGAAGCAAGCTCAACACGGTCACTGACGCTGTTTCGACGAACAAACTGACTCGAATCACGTTACATTTATTGAAACTTACGTACACAATAGACAAAATTGAAAATTCACGTGTTGCTACATCCATAATGTTAACGATGGACTTGTTATCATTTTCGAATCATTGCGATGCAGAGCTCCACAAAAGTAATCTGAGATCTGGAAACCAAAATATCAAAGCTCTACTAGATCAGTCAGGAACTGCTTCTGATCACTTTGATTGACTGAATACCGTCTATCCCAATTCAAGTAGCTAATGCTGTATCCTCTGGATTCGCACATACCAAATGCAGAAATACGAGCAACTTGTCCTCACTCTCTCTCTCTTTCGCGAAGGTTTGGGGCTCTTGAACAAGGGCGACGAAAACTCATCACAACCTGACTTACAAATCGAGGATGTATCCCAGTCATATAAATAATTAATCTGATTGTATTATTTCGTTATCTCGTTGCTTTTTAACTGAGGTATTATAATTAGGTATTTTGCGTAGAATGCAATTATGTAGGTTACTGAGCTCATCTTCTATTGTACATAACATTCACACAATCTCATCATCATTCCACAGGTGGTCTTCTTTTCAATCAGCCGGTTCAATCGTCTTCACAGAATCCAGCAAGACCACCAGTGATGCTGCTTAAATCTCGATCAAATTCAGTAGGTGTACTCCACGAGTCTAATATGAGCTCATAAGGACTTGAATGATTTTGTTGCTTGATTGGTGACTGTTGCTTATTAAATATCATTGCGAGGTCTTGAGTGCTGTATGAAGATGAGTGTCGCTTAGACGATTGATATTCATTTGGCTCTCCAAATATTCAACAGTCATTTGGAAGTATACCTGAGTCTTTGTCTCTTTTCAGATCGATAGCGATGAGGTGACGTAAGTACTGGCTCTCCAGACCAAAAAGTGTCACGACCACCAACCATGCTTCCCTTTGTAACAGCATCGTCTTGAGGTTCTTGCTTGACTTGAATCGATGAAATTCCATCAGAGCTATATCCCTCTTCATATGCTCCCAGTGCCGGACTAGGTGACGTCAAGAATGGTGGATTGAATGTACCACTACTAGTGGCACTACTACTGCCCATTCCCATCATCCCAACAAAGTCTAGATCGGGCTGTTTGCTGGGACTAAACATGGCAGAAGATGACGATGCAGGAAGGGAACAATATTGTTGTTCGCTAGACAATTCAGAATCACCATCCACATTTTGCACATCGACATCGACACCACGGGCAAAAGTATCGTATTCTTCAAAGTGCTGCATGCGTTCGAGTTCTCGGAATAGGAATGGATTTGTCATGTCCCAGACTTTATGTTGGACAGCACATGCCGAGAAAGAGGTGGTCGAAGCATCCTTTTGGTTGAAGGCAGACAAGAGGTCGAAATAAGCTTCCATCCATGATTTGCAGACAGCCAGCCAAGCTATTATTTATAATAGATTGTCGTCAGTACCGGCATTAAGCGAGTTTGATTGTGAGTGAATGAGGACCAAGTATGAATTTTGTTTTTCTGCAGAATAGCATTCCATACCATTTGCAGCATCACTAAAGTGGTAGGTCTTGAGTATCAGATTCATAAACCACGAGAACGAAGACTGGAATGTTCTGACGTTAGATAAGCTCATTCCCTTTTCCTAAGTGGTAATGATGAGATACTTAAGCAAAAAAGGAAGGTCTCTCACACAAGGCATACCAGATCAGCACCAACATTCATTAATGAATGAGCCCAGTTACCCCATGATATAAGAGATTGACGGCTGTCGATTTGCGAGATAAAGTTGGATAGTACTAATTGAGAAAGAGACTTGTTAAAATAAAACTCCGTGCATCTTTGCTATCAACACATACATGTCATGAACACAGCAGTGCTATCATCTCCGCAATGGGACACAAACATATCATGAGCCCATACAGCATCCACAGTAGCCAATTCCTTGGAGACAGAATCAACGACAGGGCCATCCTGTATGATTTGACCAAAGCATAGCGAAAGATGAATGAATCCAATGAGCATTTCTACACTTTTCTGGAAGGCAATGACGATTTCAGCCTTCTTGACGTGGACGGCGTGTCCAATTGGGAATACAGATACACCAGCAGCGAATATTTTGGGCAGCGATCGAAGAGAGTCTACGGTTTGGGGACTGATGGTATGCGGCAGTAGCAGTTTCTCGTGGAGGGTCGTCAAAACAGCCTTAATTGTCAAGAAAAAAAATCAGCCAATGCTCTTATGGAGCAAGCGCAAAAAAATTGACAAGAGCACGACCTGGCACTTACGCTGGCAAGGACGATATCGCATTCCACAATCCATCTGACGGCATTCCAATCCATCATGGCATCTGGATACCTTGCAACAAACTCTCTAGTGGTAGCACATAGTTTCAAATGAATCTTTTCAACTGCCAATCCAAAAGCTTCACTATGTGCCGACAGCTTTTCAACCTCTTCACACAGCCACGTAAACGTCGAAGTAGCATCAAGCGTTATAGATAAAAAGGATTTACAAGCTTGAATCGGCGAGAATCCCAACGGATGGGAATGCATTGGTGGTGACGTGATTTGAGGATGTGACATTTGTAATGGACTACCCAACATTCCTGAGAGTAAAGGTAGACTCATTACGGAAGGATTTAGTGCTCCGGAGGTAGCAGAGAATGTTAATGGTGTGGTTCCCATAAGTGATGTATTAGAGGTTGGTATTTGTGGGGATTGCAATACTAGTGATGCAAAGTCCGGCATTGGAGTTCCTGGTAGAGAGGCTAGGAATGGAGATGGCGGAGATGGGATGATTAAAGGAGTTAGACCACCTGGTGGTTGTAAACGGCCTAATCGTTGAGCTAATGGTGATGCCTTGTTTTTCTTGATGGTTCTTGAAGCTTCAGACAACGACCCGCGACGCGCCTTTGTTGCCGTAGTTGGCGGGGCTGTTGTTGAAGTGGGCGTTGATGCGGATGTGGACGTCGAGCTTAGATTAGATTTGGCTGATCTTTTGGTAGGCTTTTTTGGAATGACTAGTTCAGGAGTGATGATTGTAGTTTGGATAACCATCCCGCTTTTAGCTAATGGACCATCGGGTTTCACACAGACACCAATATAGTGATATTTGGAAGAGCCTCGACAACCCAATCTACGAGTTCCGACTTTTGGGAAGACGTGCCGTATTAACTTGCCAAAAGTTGCCGGAGTTGCGGCCGCCACATATTCTTCATGGCTGGTAGTGTGATAAGAGACGTCTATACATGCAAAAGAGGTCATTAATGATGTGCTTAGTATGTTAAAAGTCGTAGCTTCAAAGGATTGTCCATGAAGAGTTCAAACCAGGAGAGCCCCGGAACACTCACAATAAGAATATAAAGCTTCTCGTTGCATAGATGCATCAGCTCGAGCCTCAAAGTTTTCCAAAAGCCTATAGCAGAACAAAGTAGCGGTTAATACGCAATGTTGGTTGAAATGAATGAGTCCATCCAGCAAGCGCTGTACTGTAGGACAATGGGCGCAACGATACCACCTAATCGGCAATCTCTTACCATCTAGATACATCAGCTCCTACAGACTTGGGCCAGCATTCAGATCTCTTTCTGGAAGACTTGCTCATTCTCGAACTTGACGCGCCAGTTGCAGTGGAGGCTTGACTAGATGGATTCACAGACTCGTCATCATCAAAAGAATCACCTTCCGCCTCATCATCCCACTCATACTCCTTGATGGCGTCATTCATTTCGATTCCCTGCATCTTTGTGATTTTTTTAATAAGTGATGGAGGATGATGGAGAGAATGCAGGTTTGGCGTTTTGCAGTGATCTACTAGACTGGGAATAGACTGCTTTCTTGACGCGTAATGAGCGTGCTGATGAAGTGGCTTTTTGGAGGGAGCTTGTGAACTATAAATGAATGGTGGGAAAAAAAGTTTGGTGTTAATTCTTTTGTTCTTTACGTGAATCAAATAGTTCCAGTTCATCAGCTCACTGATAGACGCGGCCAAAGTCAGTTCCCTTTGTGTTATAATGCAAGGCTTATGAGTCGGCCGTTTCACAGTCACAAATGGAGGGATGAATGGTCACGAATGTTTGTCCATCTCATTCTGGCGGCGAACCCTGATTATGGACTGCGAAGTTGATCTATATGGACTATACAATTACGATTATTTATGTATGCTACCCAAGACGCCATCATCACTTTCTCGACGTAGTCGTCGGCGAACCCCCATCAGTTGCCGACATTAGGTTGTTGATGTATTTGAGCAAGATCTGATTCTCTGACAACATTTGAGAATGAGTATTTCGTGCAGTTTGGACTCTCAATACCAGATCTAATACGCATGACTGTGAGACATATGGTGTAATAAGCAAATAACAACCAATACCTTTGAGTGAATCTTGCAACTCCAATACTTGACTAGAGAATAACGTGTCAACCAGATATCAGAAAGTAAGGAATAAAACGTAGCGCTACCTAACAAGACTATCTCTCTCAGGGTCATAATCAAATTCCGTCTGCTTTGATGTCATAGCATTAAATGTCAATTCTTCATCGAAATGTATCAGCTTTGAAGTGTCTGGAGAAGCAGTACTTGGCGACTTTTCTGGTATTATAGATGGTTCCAATGTACTTATAACAAAAGCTGGTGCTTGGGGACTCGTGTTCTCTGCTTTCATAGCCTGCCATTCGTCAAAGACTGGAGCTGTTGTAATAGGAGGACTAGTAGGTATAGGCTCTGTTGGAGAAGAGGGCTCGGCTTCTGGACTACTACTAGGAGCAGCCCAAGGATTTGCTAGAGCATCGTCCATTTCGTGACTGGTTTATAAGTGTGTTGATTGAGAAAATGGTGGACCATGAGAACACTCAGCCTTACGCGTTATCTGACGTACAACTGCAAAGTTTCAAAAATGGATATATTGTCTTGAAAGACCTCCTAACACCAGCCCAGAAGCAAATCATGTTACAAGCTGCTTCTACCATCAGGAATTGGCCCGAAGAGAAAGGTCCGGTTTCACCGGCATGTTTTCGTTTCAATCGCCCCCTTAAATGATTTCTAATTGAATGCTGTCTTCATATATGCAGGAAAGTGGATGCACTATTCAGAAGTTCGAAATGGACAGGCGCTCCTATGCAGAACTGAGAATTTCACACCCTACAATCAAGAAATTCACGATCTAGTCAATTCTTCTCGTATATTGAACGTACTTACTGCCTTGCTATCCGCTGAAAACAATGAACAGTCACCAGGAATGGTCTTGTTTAAGGAAAAGATCAATTACAAACTCGCTGGTAAGCCAGCTGACGTGGTAACGACCTAAAGGAGCCCGTTGATTCAATCTTACACTCTACAATCCAACATGAAGGCGGTGGTGGTTTTCCTCCTCATCAAGACGCTCCCGCATTCTCACAATTCGGACAGCCTATGCATCTTTCGCTTATGATGGCTGTTGATCCTGCCACAATCGGTATGCAGTGTCTCTTACAATATCTGCAAGTACTGTACTGAAAATCTCCTCCAAATCCAGAAAATGGCTGCCTAGAAGTCGTACCAGGCTCACATACTAAGGGAGTGCTGCCTCAAGAAGCAGATGGTTCCATTGCGAGATCTTGGGTGGACGCTACTCAACCATGGGTTCCAGTAACTTGTGATTCTGGTGACTGTCTGATATTTGGCTCCTACCTTGCTCATAGATCCGGAGGAAATAATACGGATAGGGCTAGATCAGCTTTCTACTTGACCTATAATGATTTGAGGGCCGGCAATATGAGGAAACATTATTACGACGACAAACGTGAAAAGGTATGTTGTTGGCATTTTGAGATATCGTGACCGAGTCATGCCCTTACATTGAGTGCTCAATTTCAACAGTTTCCACCTCTGGCTGAACGGGTGCCAGGCAAGGATTATAGTGAAGGAGCCAAGATCTATAACTTGGCGACACCCATTGCGTATTGAAGTATGGTGGTAATAGTAGTAAGTTTCTTTCAACAATTTGTATATTCGATTCTTTAAACTGTATAGCTGTGGTCTGATATCCGATATCATGTATTTGTGACTTGGCGCTCTTGGTTGGCAATCTTGCCTTCAGCTTCATGGTCGTGACAATTGTAACACGATTGAAAATGAGTTAAGCACGAAACAAGGACGTATTTGGAGGACATGGATACGTGAGATATGTCAGGTGTGTGCACGAATACGCCAGATTCCAGCCCCCCGCTGAACGTATTTGGGTTGGTAACTTGCCTCATTTGATAATTGGATTGCCATAATAATCCCAACACACCTTAGCAGAGAGACGAGAGAGACCTCTCGAAGACCACAGCCGCCCACACGGCTGCCGTTGATACTCGTTGGCCGGCCCTCATCTAGGCAATCCATGTACTCTGATAGAGAGACCACATGGAACCTCATTGAGCAACACCAGTATGTGTAGACTTGCTGCGTAGTCAGGTACTCCAGTTGCGTTCTACACATGTGTACTCGACAGGGCTGGAGTGAATTACTGGGGCAAGAGAACTTCGTGATCGATGGCCGCCGCATCAAGTGTCATTTCTGTGTCATTGCATCTGTGTTTTGTGGTGATTGTAGTGATAAGCCTAGTAATGAAATCGATGTAGTATTGTAGTTTTATAATAGCAATATATGACTGCATCAGTGCTCCTCCTTCCCTATAACACTCTAGCATCTTATTTGAAATTGGAACTGCCTACACGGCGTCGAATAGTGTAGTAGCAAATGACAGGAATGGCAGAGGAAGCAGTCGTTGAAGCTCTTCATAAAGCCGCTGAGACCGTTCAATCTGAAATGACGGGCAAGTCCAATTGTTTGAATGACGGTTTCAAATTTAATCACTTGTCTTAGGCTAACCAAGTTTCCCATTATTTGATATAGCAATAATTGATGACTATCAAGCTATCGAGACTCTAAATGCTGCTACCCGTGATGTTTATTCTGAATTGGCTACTAAATCACAACATTTGATCAACGAGCTCACGGCTTTACAACAGACACGTACGTTCCTTGGAAAGACATCCTACGATGATCATTCTTCGTCAAATGACTGAAATGGCTTGATTTAGAAAAGGAAATTGAACCATATTTGACTCAAGTCGCTGATCTTGAGCAACAAGTCACAGAGCTAGAGCAACTTGCGGCTGTGTTAGAGGATTATTCGAGAAGAGTTGGTATAAATGATTGAATTTGATTGTTTTTGAGATCTGAAAACGAACCATGACACGTTTATTATAGATGATTATGCTCGAAAGCAAGGCAGATGAATTTGTGTCCACACTGCGACTTATCTACACATTGTACATATAATACTGATGCCTCAACCAATTACTCTTTGTATCGACTTCATGTCCGGCCCCTTTCGTGGTGAAGAGAGTCTCGCCGAAGAAGCTTAGTGCCTTTGAGTGTATGCGGACTACTTTTGGGCGTCGTCAAGTTGAAACCATGCTTCAAAATCAACGACCACGCGATTCAGTTGGTAAAAACATTATTCGAATCGAATTCTTCCTTTTATAGGTCTGCTCTTGTCGTCTTGTTCGTTTAACTGGTCCAAACCACGAGGCACTGTCACCCAAAACACCAGAAGTTCGTAAAGAAGCGAGCTAAAATAACAATTATAGTGATGGCAGGTTAGTGAAAAATTGTGCACGACTTCTTGATTATTTTTTATTCATTAAATACGAAATCAAACTCCGAACATTTAATAGATATCTTCAAGGTCAAACCGGACGGAACGTCTACCAGGTCTACCAAGCCTATACCTCTCTCACCTGTAAAAGCTGCCACTACCGTCCCTAAGCCCAAACAAGAACCAGTCTCTCCGTCACAAATCCGAAAATCAGGTCGCGAAACCCGACCATCTACACGCTTATTGTTTCCAACCCTGCTTGCAGCAAACCCCGAAAATGGAGTTGCCAAACCAGTCAGGACTAGAATAATATCTCAAAGGGTTCCTGTGGTCGGTACTCCGTCATTGTCAGGCGCGACAACACCACAACAGTCCGAGGCTCCCGAAGAAGACGACGAAGAAGACGAAGAAGAAGATAGATTTGACATAGTACGCCAACAGCAAAACGTTGCAACCAAAGTCATTCAACCTAAGGTGTCATCGGCAGCTCCCATAGTCGCTGCACGACCTGTCGCTCCCATCACTCCCGAGGACAGTGGAAGTGGTCCCGATATGATGGAAGATATACAGCACCAAGAACAACAATCAGAAAGGAAGCCTTCTGCTCCTCCACCACCAGCCACGTCAACTACAACCACAACAGTTACAACGATTACTAGTGGCCCTTCGGGTTCAGTTACTTCACCGGAACACCAAGAACAACAGAATTCTACGTTCAAAGGAGTTTATAAAGCTGGTGATCGATGGCAGGCAAAGATTAACATTGATGGACAATTCTTGTCAATTGGTAAGTTTGCAACTATTTTTGACACATGTCCAAGGCCTCGTGCCTGACGTAATCTTGCTTTCTACTCTTGTCACAGGTTTCTACAATACTGAACTGGAGGGTAAAGACATGCTTTGTATCTTGTGCTTTGAATTTTTGCGTTTTTCGTCAAATCTTAATTTGTCGCGGATCCAACCTGTTTTCTTTTGTTGTTAAGCGGCTCATGCATACAGTGCCAATTTTGCTGAATTACTTGGAACTGCTGCTCGGTGAGTTTGGAGAAATTCTGTGATTTCTTTCTGTTACACCATTTTCTTCCTTCTGATTCTCAAATCATTCGTGTCTTCATGTCATGCTCTGTGCAGATTACAAGATCTTGGCCGAAAGCCTCGTGGTAGACCTACCAAACTTGGATTCTCAACTTCTCCGAGGTAGGAAACAAAAAAATCCGTACAAAGCCGTCCAATGACACTCCGGCTTTATTCCAATTCAGGGTGGGCACATTCTCCCCCACCGCTCGTCCAAAAGCTCGTGTTGGTCGTCGATCACTCGGCTCCTCAGTTGTGAAAAGTACTGCACGAAGACCCAACGGAACAGGAGGCCCTTCGTCTTCATCATTTACAAGTAATATTGTATCACGTACATCGCCATCAGGTGACTCTCGACCTGAGGCGGCTCTTTCTATAAGTGATAGTGGCAGTAAATATATTGGGGTAAGCATTCTGCCAGATTGCGTGATAGTGTGGAGTTTTTTTTGTCTCGCATCAAACTGATCACACCCTGCTTTTACACCTTTTATAGGTCACAAAGAAGGGAGATTTATGGGAGGCCAACGTATACTTCAAGCGATGGCTGTACTTTATTGGAGAATATAACAATGAGTTGGACGCAGGTGAGTTTCATGCTTATGGTGCTTCTTAACCTACATGGTATTCACACTGCTTTGTTTTCCCCCTCGTTTTAGCTCGGGCATACAATGACGCAGCACCCGAATATCTCGGTCCTGAAACCGAGCTCAATCAAATCGACGAAGCCACTGGTCCAGCTCCCCTTCAACAATATGCCGATGATGACGAGGAAGACGATGAAGAGGGAGAAGGAAATGGTGATGATGAAGAAGAACAGGGAGAAGAAGCGAACGGAGGAGATTATAATGATGTAGAGAGGGATTACGGTCAAGACATTTTACAAGCCGCTGCACGTCTGGAACGTTTAACGCAGGACCTTATTCGATCTCCTTCCCCTTTGCAGACGGAATTTTTCAACGCTGCAAACGAGTTTGCTCTTTTGTAAAGTTTGATGAGAATTATTACGTGTATGAAAAATCCTGTAAGATGTCTAAACACCAAAAATAAAGAACAATGTCATCGCTGTGCAGCAAAATCGAGCTTTCAGAGGTAAACACCTTGCCTGTTAAACCGATTTTTTGCCTGCCCTTCGTTCCAAACAACAAGAAAATGTACTACTCACCTTGATTGCGAGATTGTGCAACAAGTTCAGAAAAGGTTGCTCATGTTATAGCAGTTTAATAAGCTAAGATTATACAAGACGAACAAATGTGGCGGACAAAACGATATGAGTGTACCCATTTATTTTACTTTCTTCGATTCCTTCACACCACTCTTCTTGTCCCCCTTGGATGATGCGCCATCAATCGGCTTCTTGTCAACATCACCACCACCCTCCTTCTTTTCCTCCTTCTTGTCCTCCTTTTCAAGTTCATCCTCGTCCTCATCAGAGAGGTCATCTTGACCGCCTCCATCTTCACCGACCTGTCCAAACTCGTTCCTTCTTCTGCTGTCTTCAGGGTATACCCATCTTTGGTATAGATAGACGAAAAAGACCACGTCGTCACGTAAACAGGCTATGCGATGCAACCAAGGCATTTTCACAATGAATGCAAACAAGTCGTCTAGGTGTGTATAAGTGTGAGCGTGATGAGATGAGAGGTTGTAGAATTGAGCAACGTACCAATGAATGTGTTTAAAGCTAAGTTTCCAAGAAGAAGGAGGAAGGAGTCAGCCAACACCCCGAACAAAAAAACCTTACGTGTATGTGAACGATGTTCTCATACCTTTGTACATGAAAGTCTTCCAGGGCATATGAGCCACACTCTTCAGCTTGTAATTGATGAATAGTTGTGGCGTCATGGTAATAAATCCAAACATGTACACAAATCCAACCAGTGTTGATACAATGAATGAATACCATGACTTGTGCTCCTCATTGTATAACGAGTAGATCGCGTAACCAAGTAGACATGGGTATAGTAAGTATGACATATATCTGAATGCGATCTATTCAACGGTGTTGCGGGAGAAATTTTTGTTTGAAAACTGTACACAAAGGAATAATTTCACTCACCTCATCATACTTCTTGGTCTTTCGAACAAGCTTGCTAGCCTTCACTTTATCAACAAATTCAACGAAAGGGAAGGTAGCTTTGGTCTAGATTTGAAACAGAATGGTTTGTCAGCGCAACAAAACAGCTTATATCATCGATATTCCAAAGGCCTAACCACCGACACTCTGTTCACAGATAACCTTACTCACCTTGACATTAACAGTCTTATTAATCTTCCACATCTCAATCAAAAGTCCGACTCCAGAAGAAATCAACACCATCCAAGACGTTTCATTATCCATCAGATACAAAAAGATAATAAATTGTGTAGCCACATTCCAAACAATGGTTCTGAATGATAAGCCTTCCATGTCCTTCTTCTTTTGCCAGAATTGTACCTCTACAGTTTGAAAGAAAGAGTATTGTTAGACATTCGTCGTTGTCATAGTTTCTGGTATCTTCATCTTTTTTACCATTCTTGAATGCCAAAAAGTCAAAGAGACTGTGTAATATCGAGACAAACATGGTGATACCCATCAAGTATGGGTTAGTTTCCAATAACATTCGCTAGATTGGCAAATACCAGAGAAGCTGTGAGCGAGAGTCGTGGAAAAGCCCGACAGCCAAGCATTTTACAAAGTTTACGGTTTTTATCCTCATACCTTCACTTCATCCTTTTCACCATCAGACTGTCCCATCATTTGACTCTGTTGCTTGAATGAATCATCCAATTGCATATACATTTGATGGTAAAAGGATGATAAAGAATAGAATTGTAGTGCTACATCCAAAGTGCTAATGTTCAAAGAGAAAGTGAAAGTCAGCTTTTAATAGTGATCTCAACTGCATATATTTTTATGCTCACCTTGTAGTCGAGTTAATTGGGTATAGTTTCTCATGCAGCAGCCAAAACTCATTCATGTAAAAGATTGGATAGTAGCTAAATCCATCTGGTGTGAGTTTCACATCTAACAAAACAAATGAGGGAAATTGTGTCAATCTATTAATAATCAGATATCAACCAGCAATTTTCAATCTCACTCACTCTTCATAATGTGAGGTGGCAGATTAGCAGGGTACTGATTTTGATCCATGACCAGAGCAATAGAAATGTTTGGCCACCAGTATGATATTATTGGTAGTTCCTCCTTCTTTTTTTCAGCTCCTTCTTCGTCGTGCTCTTCACTCTACATAAGAAAAGTTGTGGAATGTACGACTTGATTTTGGATTCATCCTAGAGCGTCCGCGCATGGATTTTCGTGATTGACACTTTACCTGCTCAGAAACAACTGGCTCTGGGTCTTTTGATTGATATCCAACAACTCCAACCAGTTTCTTCTTGGTTGACACTTTCTTCATACGTTTATACCTTGTCACCACTACACAAAACGAACCGTAAGAACGAAGGACGACAAAAAAAACTACCAAGATCGCACGAACGAACGCCGGTTCAGCCAAATCACGTACTCTGACTGTACTCCAAAGTATGCTCTGCATCATAACTCTTTGCAGCAGGATTAGGACTTGCACCATGTGGAGTCAAGTACATGTGAGCATACAAGGATCCATTGTTTTTCACATCTTCAGAAGGTGTGTAAAAAGTATCCAATCGTCGATATTCAGACGTGTTTCCGAATAGAATGTTTGGTTGAAACCAAATCAAGGATTTCTCATCTGAGAATGAGGGGTGTTCTTCTGATTCAGATAGGTATACGTACAAGTCCTAAAGCGAGAAGAGTAGAGATGTTTGGTGTGAGAAAGAAGAAAAAAAGGCTAGCGCTTTGAGGTGTAATCAGTGTTGGCGATTATCAGCTAGGCAATGAGTAAACGCGATTCAACCTCAAAAGCTCAACAAAACTAATTACCAAATTGATACCATGTCCCCAGGCAGGCGTATACGCTGTAATCTTGGGAACGAGAATGGATTCACCAGTCTCTGAGGTCGTCTGAACTTGTTGAACTGGCGGTGGTTTTGGAGTGAAATATCCGACTACAGCATTAGTGACCATCCAGATCATAACCATCCTATGTTAAATACGTGCCAACGTTAGCTCGTATTACATTTTGATCAAACATAATGTAATTTCAAACATGTTTACCGTGAGATGCCTTGGAAGGAAAAGAGGTTCCCAAAGAATCCTCCATCTGCAGGTGGAGGTGCTGGTCCACCTGGTGCCGCTACTTCAGCCATGATGTTTGTCGTTGGAAGTGTCAAACAATTGGGTGGCAGAACAACGCGAACCTCAAGGCAAATTAGCGTAAGTGTCAACACAAAATCAGACAAGATTTCGACTTGGTTCAAAACGTTGTTTCGACTATTATACGCGTCATTCGCGTCGAAAGAGCCGCTCTGCAATGTTCTCGAATCGAGATGTAGAGAGGATGATGATAACGTTTATTTACAATGACATTTTTTTTTTTCTTCTTTTTATAAAAATGCAATACCCAAGTAAAGTAAGGTTTGAAACTTTTTCTTTCAAGGCTTTTAAGCGGCCTTTACAATTCCAGAAGTTGTTTCATCCATTAGACCATCATGATCCATGAATGAACCACACGAAGGAGAATCCATATCCATTGGCGTGTGAGGTACACCAGCTGGTGACGATACTTCAGAAGACAAGTCATATGGTGATGATGCAGGAGAAGAGTACTCGTCATCGTCATGTACATCTCCTTCCGCCGAGTCGAGTCTGATGTATTCATTCACATCAACAGGACCATCTGATGAGACGGAGAAAAAAAGAGTGAGCATAAAGTTTGTGTGGGGCAAAAATACAAATCCTCTAGTGATACATGTCACCAATTGACATGTGACAACTCACCAAGCATGATAACACTACTTCTACGAAGCTTTTCTTCAGTAGAATGATGTGTTTCAATCCAACTACCTACAGCAGCTCTCCCGACAGGAGTGCCCCTCCATCCATAGTCCAACAGCGTCTCATAGAATGCACGTTCAGGTTCATGCAATCGAGTATTCTCGACCAGCGGTTTCCAGATAGACGATTTACAACCTTCAAAGTCTGAAGCAGCTAATCTAGTTACACCTGTTCTGTATGGTCTGTAACCTACACGTTTTGGTAGATCAAAGAGTCGAGATCGGGACCTCCATCGTGATCGTTCTTGTTGCGCCAATATGCCATCTAGAGTGAGCTCTTCATAGTCTGATTTTATATTGGTGTCCCAAGGCGAGAAGACAATGTTGGGTGTTCTTGCTGTGTTGTTGTCTGAATTTGCGGGTGGATCAGTGTATATTATGCTGTTGAATGACGATGACGATGGGCCATCTCTAGTATGATCATCTGATGCTGTATATGATGGTTTCGGGGTGGCTGCGGGAGATAACAATGATTGTAATGACTCTGCTGATGATGACGTGGTGGCGGTAGACGGAAGTAGTGATAGTTTGCGTGCTACTCGAGATATAGATGATATGGGCGTAGTAGATGGAGTGGATGCTGGTGTTATTGGATACCTATTCCTGGGTGGTCTTCCTGCTTTTCGTTTGATGGGCTGTGTAATCTCATGTGATGTTGTTGATGGCGTTGGAGCAACAGTCACCTCCAACTTTTTCGGTCTCTCCTTCTTTATTTGAGCATCATTACTATGAGTCGACGCAGTTGGTTTTAAACCACTAAACAAAAAAATGTTGGTCAACAACTATGGCGTTCGGATTGGGTGATGGAAACACAAGATGAAGCATAAATTTTCATGATTGAGCAGGAGAGTGGTGGAATCGAGGGATAAGGAGAATGAAATGTAACTTGGACTTACTTGTATGAAGAGAATCTGCAACCTCTTGTTGGTCTCGATTCAGCAGAATCATCATGTTCGTCCTGCCTCATGGTGCTGTCAAGTGTAGTACTAGTTTGACGTGTACGATCGGCGGTAGCAGAATGATGATTAATTTCTTCCTGTTGATCCATGGGCGAGGATACGGTCTCTTTATCGGTATAGATTGCGTTTGAGTCATCGTTCATGCTATCCAATTCTGAATAATGAGGTTCATACGACGGCGAAAGCACCATATCGTAATCTGGCACGGGAGTGGTCGACTCGTGTCGTAGCTGAGGCATATCGTCTTGGGCGTCCTCGACTTCCTTCTTTACTCGAGATGTTCGTCGTTTAGTTGTTGGTTTCGACGGCACCATGACCTTCACATCGTTAGTGACTTGACCACTTGACCTCCTCGTAGTAATAGTCATATCGATTGGCGGAACAAGAGAGAGAGATAATATATCTACTGGTAATGATATCGTCCTACGAGAGATGGTGGTCTTACACACCCTCTAAGACAAATTTGAGGAATGCTGTGTTAAAGGCTTTGACAGTTGTTGAGGGAGGTGACGATCAGGAACTAGTTTACTTGGCAATCAGTCTGTTTATCGCTGTTTCTACCTGCAAACGACAAGTTGAGACGTGCGTTTACATACACAACACTGGCATATATCTCCAAACTCCACCTTGGTTCACAAACAGAAATCATGAAATCTTAAAGTTTTGGAAAAGACCAATACGTTTCGCGTTTCCGGACGTTCCAAAAGCATATCCACGTGTATCGCATTTATGTTTGATATCAAGTGTTGGCTCCTGTCGCGTAGAGGATGTCCATATCCGTCCTGTTGTTTGCTGGACGGCATTCCGTGATTTTCTCCAGCTTTTCACATCGATTTCATTGCTGTAACAAAGTCATCAAACTAAAGATCTCATAAGGTAATCGGTCGAAGCAAACTTTGGTGTAGTAGTGCCATTAATTCCATGCATTGCATTAGAGCTCGGCTTACACATTTTCTTAAATTGCAAAACAGAAAAGAGCTCACAAAGATGGACGCTGGTGGTCAAGGAGGCAAACCAGAGAAAGTAATCTACGTATGTGGAGGTATGCTTGTGTTTTGCCTTCCTGCAGCTCTTGTATCCAAGCTACTATGATTGCCAACTTATCATCAAACCAAAAAAAACCCTTTGTAGAATGTGGTGCTGACAATGAAATTAAGGCCAAAGATGTAGTAAAGTAAGATATCTCACTATTGGGGTGACCTGCATGGCGGCGAGGAGAGAGTTGAGACTCTATGAACTCACAATGTTCCCTATTAGATGCAAAACTTGCAACGAAGGTCGAATCTTGTACAAGAAACGAACAAAGAGAAGTAAGGCCCCTTGAGGGAACAGCATCGTCATGGATGTTGCTATGTGTCCTGTACTCATACGAACAAATACTTACATTCCTCTTGGATCTAGTGATTCAATTCGAAGCTCGATAATGTGATGCTTCTTACTCGTCAAGGCTTCCCATCGAATGTACAATCCTCTTGTATGATACTATATTACACGATTATATTTGCACATCAGCAACTATTTATATATGTGTTATGCCGGGAGGCCGTCGAGAGAGATCAAGACCATACTGATTAGATTATATCAATATTCAGATTAGAATCTCTTGTCCTTCATCCTCCATATCTACATCCTCATCTCGGCCGCCTTCATCAGGTTCGGATTCCGCTCCACCACCAGATTTTTCTTCACTCTCGTCTTCTTCTTCCTCCTCTTCTTCTTCCTCCTCCTCGATTCCTATAACATTCCTGCTGATCTTGGATTCACGTCGTGGTGGTTTCTTGATGGTGGACGCCGACTTTGGTGGTCGTCCTACACCTCGTTTGTTCTTCTTGTTATAAGCCCTCTTGACAACACCACTAGCTGTTGCTTTTAGTGCTGCTGGAATAGGTGGTCGGACTAACGGGGTTGTTGTATTTGCAGGAGCTAGTGATTTGACGATATTTACCTGAAAAGACGAGTTTGTTGGAAAAAAACTTCCACCTTTTTTCGGTATTGCAGACAGGACTTGCGAGTCCAGTTCAGAAACTTACTCCGCGAGGGGGAGATGCTCCGGGTATTCTTGAATGAAAGTCCACAACGACTTTTTTCAATACTGGCAAGTATTTGGTCTAACATATACGGCCGAAAAAAGCATTGAATCATTGGTATCGTTGTCTAAACCAGTCGTCAACAAGCATGCTACCTTGTTCATCATCTCTTCAATCAGATTGTTTGGATTCTGGACTAGCGACCGTATGGCATCCATCAATTCTCGTGATGCTCCTTTGATATACACGATCAGCCCTTGTTGAGGTCCACTAGTTCCTTCCTTCTTGTGTTCAGTAGCATATACTGGTAGATAGAATGCTGTCGTGATCTAAGCAAAACAAAATAGGTTCAGTGTTTCAAGAGCCTTTGTCTGAGGAGCAATCAGCGGCGTGCGTACATCAAATGGCTCCTGTTTCGACGTAGTATCCATCATGCATGGTGGATATATTTGCATCACTCCAGGATTGTCCTGGAATTCGAATATGACGACAGACTTGACTCGTTTGTTGCTTGTTGTTGCTGATGACGTTATTGGACGCGGTGAGTTGGGTGGTGATGAATAAGTATGGCCGTCAACTCTATAGAATGCCACGTTATAAAATATGTGTGGTCCTATGATGTGAGCGAAGATCAGTCTCAAGCAATTGTTCTGCATTCAAGCGTGTACGAGCGCACTTGGTCACAACAATTTGACACGTTACCTATACGTATTTCAGCATTGCCTAATGATATCTTGTTGTCTGATGACTCGAGATATTTAGGAAAGTGAGCGTGTGTGTAAGAGTATCGAGATTGTCGCAACGATTGGAAGAGATTGTTTGCTAGTGTTTCCCTGAAAAGATGGATTCACTAAATATTAGTTCATGAATGAAATATTGCAGTCCAATCCATTGTTACGGTCTGGGAATGCTTGGCTCTTGACTGGTTGATGTTGGCTGCTGGATATCTTTGACTTCGGGCGTTGCAGCAGTCAATAGAGATGCTAATCGCCTCTTGCCACTTGATAGCATATTTTAATGATCCTGGTAATGATCAGATCTTGCAAATCTTTGGCAAGTCGTCAGTTCAATTGTGTCGATGGTCAATGCTCGACATAACGTTACAAACAAAGCGCAAGCGCTTACCACGATAGCACCAAATGAGCTCTCATATAGATACAGACACAGACTCCTCCTACAAGCTAATCTCGTAATGACAGAATAAGCTGCAAAACTCTGAATCTTTCCTTTTGTGGACTTTGGATTGTCAAGCAAGAGCTTGATTGTCACGAAAGTGACACAGAAGAAGCTATCTTGCAACCTGTATTGATCAAAGGGATACGGATCCTCAGTAGTAGGCTGGTATTTCAGCTTGCCAAGTGAGTTTGAATGGACATTGGACGTGAACATCTGGGATGTTTGACACAACACAACATGCCGGAGAACGACTCTAATTGTATTGATACAACATGGTGTTTTCATGGACATTTTACGTTATTCTGAATGGAGTGAAGACTACGTGTGAAAGATAATGCATGAAAACGGCGTAACTGTTCGTAACAAACCATCCGCACACAGACCTTACCGTGACAATAGCTTGTGCTGAGAGCCAAACGCACACTCAGAAAAGACTCAGACTTCACCGCGTCTCTCATAGAGAGCAATTTGGAGGTGTTGCTGCTAGTGGACTGCGCGCGTGCCAATGCTGAAACATAGATGTGTGACACATAGTGTCTTAAACCGAGTTTTACCTTTATGAGTCAAGTATAGGCAGATAAAGACAAGGAATTTGAATATGATGATATGCCTGTAATATACTTTTCTCCTCTCTTCTCACCTTAAACCGAGTTTTAGCTTTATAAGTCAAGATTTAGCAAAGTTATATCTTTGCTAAATCTTACATTTATCCCCTGTTTAAGTTTGACTGCCCCGGTGGCTACTTTGAATGGTTATTTCAACACATATTTGACTTTGACATCATCACATGCTTCTCTCTTCTTCTTGTTATACGCGTTTGCGTCCTGTGCTTTGATTGTGGTGACCGGTCGCACTACACCCACGACCGTTGATGCTGGTAGTCGAGACCCAACAGCTTTTGATGCTGATGACTGATACCCATTATAAGAAGATGAGGATGATGAAGAGTCAATTTGTGTTGACTCGAATGACACGTTCGTGTCAGTTCGTGTCAGTGTGAGTCGTTTGGATGTGATTGTGGCAGGGTTTGCATGTGATTATGGCCTTTCCGAGTGCAACGAAAATGAGGTCTGTCCCCTCAAAATATGCTTTATTGTTTTCTTTGTTGCTTCTCTTAGCTCTAGGAGCAAGTTTGAAGCTGGGCTAGAAAAAATCAAAGGCTTTTTTCTTTTTAGTCTGGCGTTTCATTTGTGTGATGCCGCTGCTTGTGTTTAGTTTCATGAAATTCATCGCCAGCCAAGAAATTCACCCACGAACCCACTTGTTGCAATGACTTTGAGATCTTGGTCATGCAACGATTACACATATTTAATAAGTCTTTCGTCATTTTTTGCGACTCTTCTTGATGACAATGATTCGTCCGCTTGCAGACTTTCAACACCTGCTTTGATGGCTTATAAATTCATCCTGGATACTACGATTTCGTTACATGGCAGAATTCTAGCATGCGCTTTCTGCATCCATCGTATAGCCAACATCATCCAAGATCCAAAAATTCTGAAAGTAAGGTTCTCGCTCCACCACTATTCTTCGGAAGTTGTGCTGACTCTCCTCCTGGTGAGAGCCCCAGTCTTTGCTTCTGAAGCGATGATGTTCCTTCGGCACTTTAAGCAAGCAAGACGTTTGTGCATTGCTAGGTATCTTTCTACTTATATACATCCGCAGATGCGTGGTTTGCAATTACTTTTCCTCTGGTTAGAGATCATAAAATGCTTTATTCAGCGTCATGTATAGTAGAATGGTTGTGTCTGCAAGTTCGATGTCCTGGAGTGGTCTTGATTCAAGCAGAAGTATCAGTTCGAGATTGTAGATCATGACAATAATCCAGTTTAGTCACGAATGACGATAAGATGATGTTTGGAGTTAGTCTTTGCTTTGTCTTGGAACACTTCACTTTTGCGTCAAATGCCGATATCCTCAGAGGTTTACACAACCATTTCATAAAAGTGACCCTGGTTTCATATCTTAGCCTCACATTTTGCAGTGTCTTGTGCGGTGAGCCCGGTGCGGGTTGGTGGGAGGCGATGGAGCGGTGCATCCTTAGCCTGAACGGACTTTCGACACGATACCCGATCTCGGAATCCAGGAGGGTACGTTCGAATCCTTCTCCTCGGTGCTCATCGCACAAATCCTTTTTGTTTTTTGGGCCAGACCAATGAAAACCATAAGGACAAACCAGACCAAAAGGACACTCTTCGGATAATGTGAGATGTGTGTAATATATTTGCTCATGTCAGAAGAAAAGAATGCTAGAATTTACACCTCATTGCATATTTGACTACAATACAAAAATCAATAAACCACGCAACCAAAAAACTCTGATCAAAACTATACAAGATACTTACATGCTCTGGTTGAGTAACTCGCCTTCGTGCAGCTTGAGCTTCAGCAAGTTGTTCCAAGACAATGACGGTATCATCGAAATGGATACAAGCATCAGTAATACTAATTCCGTACTTCAAGTCTTTTGGATCGTTTGGCATTTTTTGGTTTCCTTCGTTGATATTTGATTCAATCATCACTCCAACAATAGATGGGTCTCCTGCTTGTAATTGACGACACTAAGGGAGAAACTTTTATAAGTTGCCATATCATTGAGTATACATATCCACTATGTTTTTTGTTGACGCTTACCAAGTCTTCACAAACAAGTATTTGATTTTTGTGCTTCTTCGAAGAGTTGCCGTGAGAAGCATCGACCATGATACGAGCTGGGAGATTTGATTTTGTCAAGTAGTGTACAGTTTCATCAATGTATTTCTTCTCATAGTTAGGACCAGCCTTGCCACCACGGAGAATGATATGACATGTATCATTACCCTTATGATATCAAGATATTTAGGACGTTGACTTCTACGAGAATAAACGAATTTTCTTCCTTACCTTGGTGTTGGCGATGGCAGCTAGACCTTGCTTTGTCACACCCAAGAAGTGATGAGGATGAGAAGCAGCGTGAATTGCATCTATCGCAATGTCGACGTTTCCATCAGTGCCGTTCTAGGAAGTGTAAGCGAAGGTTAGATCAGTTAGACAAAGAAACAATGTCACCGTGAAAATACCTTGAAACCAACAGGGAAGGAGACACCACTAGCCAATTCACGATGAAGCTGAGATTCAGTTGTACGAGCACCAATGGCACCTATCGTTTTGAAATCGATGAGCGACTTTTGGTTGGCACTTGTCTGGCAACCACAGCGCACCCCAAGAAATGCAATCGGCCAAGAATTGAGGAGAGATGGTATCCAGAAGTTCACAGCCGACAGGGATTCCAGAGTCTGTCAGATCACATAATAATTGTCGAGCGATTCGTAGACCCTTGTTGATGTGGAAACTGTAGACAAAAAATCATTAGCCAGACTCTTTTCTACGTCCTTACGGTTTTAAAGTGCAACTCACCTTCCGTCCAGTTGTGGATCGTTGATGAGACCTAGTGATAAATGAATGACGTCTTGGTTATTCCAGTACTTGAAACGATCGCCTCGAGCCTTCAAAAACTTGATTACCCTTCCAACCGACAGTTGTTCGTGGTTTTTCAAAGTAGGCACGCATAACGATACATAGATGGTCCTTCAACTTGTCAGCGACTTCTTTTAACCTTGCAGCTATTGTAATAAAAAGACTTTGTTAGGGTGAACACACACACACCACTGTTTTCTGTGACTCAGTCAAAGGAAGTCACCAATGTACCATAGACTTTGGCAGTTTCCACGTCGTGAATTGAGCATGGCCCCACAATGACCAGTAAGCGATCGTCTTCACCCTTGATGATTGCAGTTGCTTGTTTTCTGCCTAGAGCGACCGTTTTGGCACCTTGTTTGGTCAATGGATGTTCGAGTTGAATGATTTGTGGTGGAACTAGAGAGAAAAAGGCACGTTGGAATGGAGTCATGACGTGAATATTATGCGGACGGAGTCGTGTTCTCTTTGTCGTGTTCATCAATTAAATCAATGCGTTTGAAAACGTGCCAACAAAAGAAAAAAACTTACGAAGTGGGTCATATCCAGTGATGTTGGTATCTTCTGATGGTTGGTCGTCTTCGTAGGAGTGACCATTGAGTTGAGCTGATGTGTAGACGGTGCCTGATACTCCTGCCGTTGCCATTTTTGTTGAATTGGATTGTGCGAACGAAGTGTGTTTTTAATAGGGGTTGTCCTTGCGAAGTTTGGATGTTTGCACTGACATGTGAAAGACATCTCAAAGGCGTTCTTCCCGTAATTCGTGCAATTGGAACGCGTCAAAATAATGTTCAGAACATATGATCAACCTTACAAAGTGTCTTGAAAGACTTCTTCACAAAAACACGCACTCCCGATTTTCAATGAAAACAGAGGTGGATCGTCGTTCAAAGTACTTCATTTCCGTTTCAAAATAAAGTATCAATGTATTTCAGCAAAGGCTTTCTATGTACTACTTATGCTTTGGCAGCTTCGACCTCTGTAGCGTATACTCCAATTTGTTTTTCTCGACCATCGACCTTTAATCTTGCACGCCATCGTTTTCCTTTGCTCTTGCTGACTCCGCGGTAGTTTGAGGTGTTCTTGGGCCTTCTAGCAGGTGGTAAATACGAGGGAGATGGTGATTGTGAGGTGCAATGATCACCATCCTCATTGTCTTCGTCGTCTTCAGTACGGTACATACATACTATCCTCCCGCTTGTGAGGTTTGCCATCACAGCCTTGTCTAAACTCTTCAGCTGCAGGTAACAAATCCAAGCCAACGCATGATGGAGCAGGTTGTTTACTATCAGATATAGGAGTTGAGGATGAGGTTGATGCACTGGATATTGAGTATGGTCCCGATGACCTTGAGGAAGGCGAGAATCCAGGCTTTATAAAAGTGTTGTCGTCATCATTGAGGTAGGAGATCATCCATTTGACTATGGAGAGAATTTCTACGCAGGTTCGGCGCTTGATACTGGCGCCAAATTCTTCTGTTAGTAATGGCATCGTTTGCGATGATGATTTCTACGAAAGTCCAAAGTGTAAGTTGACATGTCGCTGGATTAGGCCAAGGGAGCTGAAGCACTTACGGTTGCAATGAATTTAGTTGCCAATGAGTGCTCACTTTTCAGAGTTCTCGCGGAAGTTCTTTGTGGCGAGCAGTTGAATTTGTTGTAAATGGCGTCACATTTCACTTATCAGGTAATGAAATCCAGCGTATGAAATTATATTCATTTGTTTTCAGATCACAAGTAAAGGGCCAACCAAGAATGAGTTCCAGTGGGTCGTGTCGTTTCCTTCGAATTTCCTTTACACTTTTTGCCAATCTCCCAACCCCAAATATGGCAAACATCACCTCTCAAATCAGATTGGTATGGAGAGATGCACTGTATTTAAGTATACTTATGTATTTACACTGTGAGTGGTAACCATTGGTCCTTCATCTATTCACGATCACACCTATCTTTGTACATGGTTGACAGTTCTGTGATGGAATAAAAGCTTGTTAAAAATACCACTTGTATAAGAAAGCCAAAAACAAACTGACCCTGACGTGTTTGAGGTGATGTGGTTTGAATTCAACACAACCAAAAAGTCATCCTCGTCTATTGGGGCGGGTGGTGATGGAGGCATAAAAGTAACATGCGCTACAGTATTTGTCCCGGATCTGTTAGCGGCAAGTAATGATGCAGAGGTTCTGCGAGAGTGATGGGGCAAGAATGCCAACGGTACGTCACTATTGTCACTTGCATAACCACCATCCTCATCTGGAAGGTCTGACGAGTAGTCACAATCTCTAATCATCTTCTCTACTATTTCCCTCATGGTTTTCAGTCTAGTTCTCATGCGATCAAGTGTTTCCGAGAAGGCATGAGCGTCGTCGTTTGATGTCATCGTTCGCTCGTGAGTAGGCTGACCCATCATGGCCCCAAAATAGCAACTGCACGCAGGTGGATAAAGGTCAAAGAAGTAGCTGCACTACTTTGACGGCAAACAGTCAGTTGTTAGACTTGGAAGCGAGTGACAACATGAAAACCATTCAAGACGTCAAAAGCATTTTTCTCAAGGAGGCCAAGCTAGTTTCAACTACAAATACTGTACTACCAACCTCGCGAATGCACTCGTTGATGCTCCTATGTTGTTACAGCGAGCGTTGTCTGCTTTGCGGCACGATTATGATTTTCAAGTTGAGCGTCACTCATTCTGAAAACAGGCGAGGTAGACCAGCAACTGGAAGAGTCAGTTTCAGCGTGATATTGATGATTAAAACAGTTGCAAATTACCGAGGAAAAGCGAATATGTTTTATGGAATTTCTGTTGATAACGCGTGAGCTTTACAAGCAATGACAATAATTTAGGCTTTGTGCCAAACAAAAAAATTCACAAGTCCGACATTGTCTCTGGTTTGCCATGAGATGCACCTTCTGGCAAGATATTGAGCATGCCACCATCTCCAAGTCATTCCAAAGCAGAATTATTGTAAGCACGAGCAGCTTGAACTTTGTTGCATAGGTACCAATCCAGTAGGATCCACTTCTGACATTGATACGAGCTCGCCATTTGTCACGATCCTAAGAGACAAGGTTGTTAGAGCTTTTGAGTTTAAAGTGAGGTTGGACTTGCGTCGACACCATACCTTTGAGACACCTGTAGATGCTTGCTTTGAGAGGCCGAGTGCTTTTGACCCCTGATCAATTGTTTTCGCAATTTTTTAAATATGGGTTAGGTGGATACTCAGTTTTGAAACTGCAATGCAAATGCTAAAGGTTACCTTGCTTCCTTCCTGGCTTCCTTCTGTTCTGCAGCAACGAAATTTTAAGTCCCATAGTCAATTGTAAACGTTAGTATCTATGTCTGGAACATTGCGACACTACATGAGAGCATACTTGGCAATCTTTGGTAATGGTCTGGTTATAGTTTTGGTAGCCTAAATAGTAAGACCAAAGTTAATACCGGTCCATAATACCAATTAGACCATCTATACTCACTTCTTAATGGGTTTGACAGGCTTTGATTTCACATCTTTCGCAAGTACTTCTTCAATCTCATCGTCCTCTTCTTCATCGTCAGTGACGTCAGCACTGGTATCAGCAGGCGAATCGAAGGCAAATTGTTGGGGGGTGAGATCTCTTATCATCGATCCTGCGATTGGTTTTATTGCAACGGACGCTGATCGGTGACTTTCGTTTGGTTTGTGTTGTTGTAACTGATGATGTTGGTTTGGAATGGTTCCCATGCAACAAGGGCATCAACATTTGTGAAGAGTCAACAGAATCATCATCCAGTTCTGAGAGTCTTGGGTGTCCTGAAAAATTCGATGGACCACTACGCTGTTCGTTCGATGCTCTAGGTGTTGAATATGTGGAGGTGGGAGATCAGACCGTTGGTACGTTGTAGTACTTGTTCGAGATCTGCCAGTAGCAAAGACTGATGCAAATGTGCTCTTTGTGTCGTTTGGCGTGGATGGACCAGAATCATCGATCGAGTAGCCGTCGTCATCGTCGTCCATCGGATCCGTGGAGGCGTCACAATCTTGAGTAGTCTTGGATGGTAGATATTTCGTAGAATTGAACCTAGTGCTCATATGTTCGATTGCGTCGTTCAACACATTGCCGATTCGTTTGATGTCGTTCTTGTCGTCATTAGTTTGTTATGGGGGTTGAGACTCTTGTTAGCTCCAATAATAGCGATATTGTGCTCTGATGAAGAAGCGTAGCTTTGCCACACTGCTAGTTGAACCAGGATGTTGTCAGTTTTGGACGTTTGCAAATTGAATAGGAACGATGCGACGAAGCAAAACTTTTTGCGAGACAAAATGTAGATGTTTCAAATTGCTACGTTTTCAGTGCTCACCTTGATAGCTTCCTTGATGCTCTTATGTCGTTCACGACTGACGTATTTATTTCTGCGGCAATGAATTTGTTCAGTTCGTGTGGACTGAACTCCTAACAAATTCAATAAAACACACGAGCTACGAGGAATATAGGAGCATTGAATGCCAACGCGCATTAGCCAAAATGAAAGGGAAGCTAAACTTATTTATATTCTCTCGTTTATCAACTACGTTTGGAACTGTATACATGGCGATAATTTACTGTCTCTGCACCAAAGCAATTATATATATACTCATTCCTCTGGCATTGGTTCAGGTGTGCCCTCAGGTTCGTCATCAGGCAAGATATTGAGAGTTGCACTGTCTCCAATGGTCTCCAGTGCACACTTGTTGTAAGCACGGGCAGCTTGAACTTCAGTAGCATATGTACCAATCCAATAGCATCGACCTCTAACATTCACGCGGGCTCGCCATTTGTCACGGTCCTATGAAACAATGTTGTTATATGAGTTTTCAACGACACTGGGATGTATTGTAATCTCAAACCTTTGAGACACCCTTGTATTTGCTGGTTCGGCGACTGTGAGTGATGGTATCTGTTGCTGCTGCATCGCTAAAACAGATAATGATGTCAATATCTAGTTTTGAAATCGGGTTGATGCCAACATGAGTTACTTTGCATCTTCATCAGCGCCGTTTTGAGTTCTAATTTGACGTAATCGTTAGGAGACTATCTCTGGTACAACTCCTTCATTGCGTTAAAACCCACTTGAATGTCTTTCGTGGTGGGGCATTCCTGGTTTTGGGAACCCTAATAAATTTGATCAACGGTTACGCCTGGGACAAGATCTAATGCCTGTAACACTGGACTCACTTCATCTTGGGTGGTTTGGTAATTTTTGGTTTCACGTCTACCACAAGTTCTTCAATCTCTTCATGTTCATCGTCCGTAACGTCAGCACTGGTATCAGCAGGCGACTCGAAGGCAGGTGGTGGAGGAGCATTCTTCTTTGCATCAATCCTACGACTTCGTTTCACAGCTGCAGGTGTGGATGGAGCCTTTCGTTTGGTCTGTCTTGGTGATGGTGGATTGGTATTGGTTCCATGCAACAAGAGCATCAAGCTTCGTGCAGAATCAACAACATCGTCATCCATGTTTGAGGGTGCTGGGTATCCTGAAGTATCTGGCAAGCTCTCTTTCGTATCTACTATACTACCACTGTGTTCGTTTGAGGTTTGAGAACTGGAGTCTGTTGCGGAATATTGTGCAGTAGATCGTTCATGTGATTTATCACTTGTTCGGAATCTTCCAGCAGCGAGGACTGAGG